TTAAACTGCTTGTTAGCTTAAATTTTTAACTTAATTATTATTTATTCTAAATTTCAGTAGATTTGAAATTAAATCTGGTAGTATTTATATTATTCCAGACATTTCCTGAAGTTTCATCATTTTCTTGTATTTTCTGCCATTCATCTTATTTTCCTCCGTTTCTCCAATCTAATACATACATTGTTTCGATTATTAATTTTACCAGAATTATTCACATGATCGAAAAATGTTAAAACTCATGTTATAAATTTAAAAGTATATGATTGACAGACGTTTTACTTGAACATTTCTTCATTGTGTAATTCTATGATTTCGTAATCATGTATGTGAGCACTGGAGAGAAGCTTAGAATCATTTGTGGTTAAATGGAATTAGAATAATACATTATCAGTTTTCTTTAATTGTTAAGAGCAAGAAATTATGAAGTAAAAAAATTAACATTAATTTGTAAACATGAGATGAAAATAATCGATGAAAGTTTTCTGTTTAAAAATAATATAACTGTAAGCAAAATTGAGCGTTATTTCGGTGTTACTAACCAAGTTTCATTAGGCAAATTACTTTGTAGCACATTGTATTATATTTTTTTACTGACTCATTTATTTTTACGCCCTAAATTATTACTTACAAACAGTAGCAATTTTTTAAGATTCTTTTAAATTTGTGAAACTGTTAGATATATGTAGTAATTTATACGCTATATTTTTAGGCTTAGAATAGTGCATTATTCTTAAAAGTTTAGTAAGAGTACTTGGATAGGAAAAACTTCGGTTGATAAATAAAGGCGAAAAGTTACTATATATGAAAGTATTATTAATTTAATTTGTTAAAATTTTGTAAAATATTTGATAGTATCATTAATAAGATTATACTTATTACACGTTTTTTTTCTCATCCTTTACTTTTTTTTGACTTCAAAATTAAGATGAATAAGAAAAGAAAGACAATTAGAAAGTGAGGAAAGAGGGAGGATTTTGTGGATATTTTTTTTCTTTTCCTTTTCCTCAATATTGGTTATTTAGTGGAAAAGTGCTGCTTTTTTGAAAAGAAAAAAAAAAAGGTCTTCTCTTACATTCAATTTTTCATTCACTTCCAATTACCCTTTCCCTTAAGCTTCTTTCGAGCATCATTTGCTTCTTGTTCACTTGTATTGTTCATGTTTTTTTTTTTCATCTCATTCCACCATTCGTTTCCTCCCGTTACATATTTTAGTTTGTTGGACATTTCTATCTCGTCATACCCATCTTATTTCCGTTTTTACATTTTTTTTACATTAATTTTTTCGCCCTTTTTGAAAAAGGATGAAAGATTACTTTGTACCTTTCACTTCCTTTTTTCTTTTTTTTTCTTTTTTCTAAGCTTAAAATTTTGCGAGTATTTCAAATAATTTAAAATGAATAAATAAATTTATGAATAAAAGTATGAAAAAATAGGTACTGTCAATCTTATATGAATGTATTTTTCATTGTACATTGGACTTGTGCATCACAAAATTTTCAATCTTTCAAAATAATTTATGCTTTTTATTTATGCTATTAATATATCCCCTCTGTTAAAATTGTCCTTTTAAATTTAATTGTTCTTCCTTCACATTTTATTTTAATTTTTAGAGAAAGAAAAAAATTGCAAGATATTTTTCTATTTTGAGGATTTTTTTTTCTTCGCTCCCTTCTTGCTATCTTTCATTTGTAATATATCGTTTTGTTTTAAATTTGCTTTATAAAAGAATGGAAAGATGACTTTGAATTTTTGATTTTTTTATCGAATTTAAATCTTATTAATTTTTCAACATTTGATTACCTTTTTCACCTCATCTCTTTTTGATCATCATTGGAATTAAGTTTAAGTCATTTCTTAGTTGGCAGGTAAATCGAAATGGAATAAAAAGAGATGAATTTTCCAAATTGATTAACTCTAACCATTTTTTTCCGATTAATTGACTAATCGTTTGGTAAATATACAGTTTGATTCATGTTCGTTGTTCATCCGTACAATAACAGGATATTGTTTAAACCAGTCGGAGCAGTGATGAAGCGTTCACGTACAGTAGGATCAGGCGAAAACGGTAAACAATCGGGTAGATCATCTCATGTTAGTCGTATGCAACGTTGGTCGTTAGCGTTACGTCGTCATTGGTTTTCGTCAACTTCGGGGAGATGCCGGGAAAGTACAGATTATGATTTTAATAATATCAATCCTGTGGAAATTATTTTTGCTGCGCCTAAAAAGACAGTCCTTGGAGGTGCACTTAATGGTTTGTCTTTTTCAGATTTATTCCCCGTGCAGCTCACTACTAAATATTGCATATGTAAACTGGCATTGCTGTAGTTTTTATATAACTGTGATGTTGATTTTATTTTTTTTGGGATAAAGGACAATAGGAGTAATACTAGAAGCAAATATGTCCTTAGGCTATTATAATCCAAACAATGAATTTTTAAAAATGATGAATACGTGCTAACTCGATATATGATGATTTTTTTAATGTAGAATTTGATCATTTTAATTTTGATCATTCAAAAAGACTCAAGAAGATTTTTTTGTGTAATTAATTTATTTTAATTTTTTGTGTAATTTTTAGATATATTCTTTGTATTACATAAGATATTTTATGATAGAAAATTAAATTTATTTACTAATTCAAAATCTATGGACAAGTTGCTATTAGTCACTTAAATAATGGCTACTGAGAGATAAAGAAAAATTGCTACGCATTTCTTGAAATAAATAATTATAATCTTTTCTGGTTTAATACGAATATTTCAAT